ATAGAATAGAATAGAATAGAATAGAATAGAATAGAATAGAATAGAATTGAGGATGGGATGGGATGGAAGAGAAGAGAAGATTCACCTGGCCCATAAAATCACCCAAGAGTTGGACATGACTGAATGGATAACATCATCACCATCATCTTCATCATCTAAGCACGAGCAATAAATCAGTTCAATCGAAACGCAACGCCTAAGCCTTGGTCTTTTGCACACAACAATCATCTGGCAGAACTCACCTATGAGATCCTTGTTACGACGATCCATGGAGAGATTTCTCAGGGCTATGGATACCGCTCTCACCACCTTGTCCGAATCTGATTGGAGCAGCTCCACCAGGACGGGAAGTCCTCGTTCCTTTCGCACCGTTGCCCGGATGTATGTAGACCACTATTCCAAGAAGGAAGGGAGAAAGGTAAAAGAAACAGCCCCTTCGAAGGGTTATGTTTTGGCCTGTTGGCAGCCAGCCCCTCCAGCAACTAAATCAGAGGAGGAGGAGGAGGAGGAGGAGGAGGAGGTGGTGGTGGAGGTGGTGTGGGAGTCAAGCCTGTCAGGGCAAACTGACAGCTCTGAGGGCGAAGCAGGAATGGAGTTGTTGGAGATAGAGACAGAGGCGGAGCCTGGACCATCCGTCAGCCCTCAGATGGAGAGTCAACAGCCCCCAGGTCTGGAGGTGGCTGATGAGGAAGAGGAGGAACAGCTGGGTCCAGTGCCTGACACATGAATGCACAGAAGGCAGAGGAGAGGAGAGCAGTGGAAATCTATGGGCCGGCCCTCAGGACAGAAGAGCCACTGCTGGTAGCGAAGCCCCCACCCTAGCACTGGGGATCAAAGGCAGGGGGCGGAGATGAATAGATGTGACAGAAAACTATTCGTCTCCCTGCTGGACAGACTTGTTAGCCTGTGGTGAGAGAGAAACCTTTTGCCAGGGCTCCTAATGAAGGAATCTTTGAGCTAACTTAAGAGAGTTTATTGTGTTTGCGGGAACTAAATCAGAACAGGTTACCAGACTCAGTGCAGAAACTTCAGTAGCCGGGCTAATCTGTATTCTGGAAGAAATGAAGGCCACGATAATGGTGTGGAACTTCTAAAGACCAAGCCTTGGGAAAAATGTACCTCCTGGGACAGACTATGGCTTAGTCGTGTCTTACTTCTAAATGCAAAGTTATGGTCTTCCTAGCAAAATTGATCAATGGTTTGGGAAAGCGATTCACTTCTGCCTGAAATGAGTAATTGCCCATGGATGCCAGAGAATGCTAATAGACTTCTCTTAGGTCTTGTTGTCTGGATGGCTTGGTGTGTAGAGAGTAAGGAAGACGATCCTGACAGAGATAATTACCCAGATCCATTACCAAAGTGACAAGGGGAGAAGTGCCAGAACACAAAGAAGTTAGGCACAAGCCATTTGGGCAGACCCCTCCCTAATTCGCATGAGAGGGGGAGGGGGGAAGGGGAGCGAAGCCCATTCAGACTTGCAAGACTCTTGTTAATAATAACCAATGTAATTTTAGCCTTGATTTGTTGGGACTTGACATTGATTTTGCAGTTTCTCAATAGAATAGAATAGAATAGAATAGAATAGAATAGAATAGAATAGAA